TGTGTCCTTTGCCCATCAGATCAGGCCAGTTTGATGACAATGGTTTGTACTTTCAAAGAGACCCAAGACATTTATTTTCAGTATTCTGAATTTAACAAAAAAGCTTAAAATTGCTCTGAATTTCAAACAAAGGGCTATTTAGCTCAACTACACCTACTGATCCTGAGAGGGGGAGGGGCTGGGAAGCACAGGTGACAGCACAGAGCTGCACACTGAAACCAAATGCCAAGGCCATCTTCACAAGGGGCGTGAAATGATGGGACTTTATAAACAAGTGTGCCTATGAACAGCAAAACCAAAACACTCGTGTCAAAGAAAACTGTCCACAGGGAAAGCAACAACAACTGGAAAACAGCAAATACTGTCACTATTTCAGAGGAATCAAGGTGCACTATAAAACACATCAACTTAATATGAAGTGTTTCTTTTTTAAAGTTCCCTTTTCTGTACAAGGGACCAAGAAGGACGCTGGGTTGAGCTCCCTAGCTCTGGCTGTGAAGCCCAGCCTTCCATGTCACCAGCCACAAAGCCATGGACACTCACACATGCTGTGCTGCAGGTTTCTAATTTGAACACGGGGTATAAAACTGTCTACTACTTAGGGAGATGAGACACAGCAAAAGCACTAAAGGAAGTTTATCGTGCATTACTCCAGCAATTAAGATGGGTTATCTTTATTGTGACATGGAAATAGGATGTCTGGGACAAAGCTGATCATCCATACATTTTTTTAAAATTACTGTCTGAATATGTACTTTCAAGTGAATACATATACAAATATGTGAATACATAGATTAGTTTCTCACGTGAAATAAAACAGAATAATATTGATGTTGGATATTCTCTGGAAAGAATGTATTAAAATTTAAAAATCTAAGAAATCTGCCATTTCAATTTTTTTTTAGAAAATCATTACTATAGAACAGATTTAAAACTTTTCCTTCCAGGGTCCCTTGTAATACATACTGAAAATCAGCTGAACACTTGAGTTTCTTAAAATGCCTATTGAAATGACTGTCAAATTTCAGAGCATCAGCTTCCTTAAATGCTAAGACTCAAGAAGGCAGGGAAGTTTCTCTGATTATCTGTTTGTTAGTAACTATTAAAAACTCCAACATCTATTAGATCCTCAAATGCCATCAGAAAAAGAAATTTTAAAGCTACCTTTCTCAATTTCATGTCTAAATAAGAGATTCACATTTAAATTGATCTTAATATATTTTACTAGCTGAAATGAACAGAAATGACAATTCTCACCCATTTCATCTTGGACTGGACTTGGAGATTATCTTTTCCCCAGCTAAGAAATGAGATACAAAATGATTCAGTGACTTAAAAATGTGAGCGTTCTCTGTGTGCCTTTGTGTGTTCACACAGGCAGCACCCATATGGCCGAGGTAGGGAGGTAAAACTGCACGCGGCAGATTAAAATCTTTCATAAATATTTGACCTAAACACTTTGAAAAAGAAAACATCAGGCTGGTAGAAATAATAACTGACCTTTTACTTAAGGTACCTTTAACAGAATTATCTGTCCCCGCATCAGAATGTATGTATTTACCCAATGTTTAAATTCAATTTCTAAAACTCCAGGGGAAAATAGAATCAAGATTTAATGTATCATTGTAAATCAAATGTTAAGTTTTTTAATTCCCATTTTACTCTTAAATCTGTACCTTCAGAAGTGTCCTGACTACATGCTGTCCTATCCCTAAATCAGACTTCATTTTCTCCTACTACTTAGTCTCAGTTCAGAATGCAACATCCAACTTACCTAACCACATCCACTGAAAGAAAACAAAAGCAACAAAACAGCCAACCTCAGATCTATAATGAGCTAAGCATTTTTTATGTCTTAGAACATCTTACAAAAATAAACAAACACATGATACACAGAACTTAATAAACACACATCAATCTACTTGGGCAGATTTATGATAGGAAAGTAGTAACAGAAATAAAAGTACGAGTTGTAAGTCAAACCACATACCTACTTATGGAATTTCTGCAGCTGGAGAAAACCTTGCAAATATTATCAAAGAAAATATTATTGCACAAAACCTAAGTAACTATTTTAATACCAACACTTTAAAATTTACCATTGGGCAAGGTCATAGGAAATCAGGACTTCTGGTTAGTCATTACCAGGCACCTTGACTTTAAATCTCCAGGGACACTAGCTCCTTTATCTGTCAAAAGAGGTGCCAGGAAAGGATGATCCCTTCTAATTCTAAGAATCCAAGTACAACTAGACATTTGCTTAGCAAATGTTAGAGGATCCTCCTAAGATTTCTGGACCCAGGGCTTGTCAAAAGCCCCAGGCGAATTCCTGAGGTGTGCTACTCCTTCTCCCAGTTAGCCTCTATAGAGGGACTCTTATTTTTGTCCATAGGTTAGATTTTCTGCTAAAGGTACTACTTAGGAAGCCTATAATCATTCTTGCTACTGAAGTACTGTATCATACTAACGAAAATGCTATCTTTAATGTACAGCAAATGTATATATTGAAAAATATGTCAAAAGTTCTCACATGAATGAAAAATAAATTTTATGAGAGAAGTACAGCCTCAATAAAGAATTTCCTGGAGTTAAAATTCCATTCTGCATAAGGATAAGGCATATTTATTTGCTAGGCATTTTTCACTATCATATCTGTATCAACAAATCCCAAACACAGAGAAAAGAGAAACACACATTTGGGCTTGTTTCTCAGGGAGCCCCCTCTATCTTTAGGAAGAAAGGACACAAAAATAAGGGGAAAAGTTTTTAATAAGATCATTGAGTGTCTAATTTATAGATTCAGTCTAAGAGAAACAAAAAAAATGATACAGCAAAATATAAAGTTGCTCCCTCATTTAGAAGTTATTTTTCAAAACCACAATTGAATTTAAAATTTTGCTGCCACTAAAGATATGTGTAACATTTTCAAAAGGTATTTTGTAAGAAAGGAAGAGTGTAATTATAATACATGCTACAATCACAGCCTAGCTCCACTGAATTATTACGGTGGGGTCTCCAGTGACATAAGGTAACAAGTTCTTCTAAAGACCCCCCATACCAGAAACTCACATAGGTGTGACTCCACTCAGTTCTAAATTTCATTTTATCATTTAGTCTAATGTTGTAATTGTCAACATTCATTTTGCATGACAACATTAAGTAAATTCACAATTACATTTAAAAGCTACACTGTGGTAGAGTTTATTGGCTGAAGGTTGATACCATTAACAAGTAGTTCTCACCGACTGTATCAATAAATATATATAGTAGCATATATTTTTTCCAGATGTTAGTAAAATGTCTTATGTCTTTAAATGTACTTCCAAAACTAATGGGACATCCAGGAACATGAAGACACATGAGATTCATATACTGGGTGTTTATATTTTTTCCCATAATTTTATTGATAAATGGGTGTTTATATTGTTTCAAACCTGAATTTAGAAAACGACTAATTCTAGGTCATCTCGAATTTCTCAAGGTTAATAATCACATAACATGTTACCTGGAGTTGTCTACAAAACACACTCTCAGAATCCATTTTCATCATGGGATTCTGTTGCGGTACCTGTGTTTAATTAATTTAAAGTATTTTTATTTGATAGCTGTAATGTCACATACTCTCTATTCCACAGGTGAGAGAAGCACGATAAACATCAACTGCACGTATAACTGAACTGACAAAAAGTTTGCCCTACATTATACAAAATGGATGCTTAACAATGCAGAGAATATTTAATCTGAGGCTATAGCTTAGTTTACAATTTGCTCTATTCCTGAAAAGGCTAATGTAAGAGCCACGTTACAGGACTGTAATGTACCAAGCCTGACATGCAAAAAAGAGTTCTTCAGGAAAAGTAGAATAAAAGCCCACAACCTTTTCCCAAAGGTACCCACTAATCTTCGCGAACCTTACATTAAACATGCACCTTGAGAATATCTACTACTCAGAGTATGGTACATATATACTTTGAGAAGCTCTCAATTACAGAAATGCTTACAGAAGTCTGAAATTCAAGCTCAAACAACCGATTGATATTTGAATTATAGTTCTAGGCCTGAATTAAAAGAAAACTTTAAAAACTTAACAAAAATCTAATCAGACCTGTACCTCAATTATAGCATATCATGGGTTTGGCTAAGAAGGAACAGCACTGTAATACATCACAGGGTGACCACATAAGCAGATTCCTAAGAGTGAGTTCACAGCATCCTTTTTCTTACTTGAAGTCAGCTGACTTTTAAAAAATGATGCATGGTTTTTAAATCGGGAAACAATGGCAGTTTCTACCTAAAATTTTAGCTCTTTTCCATCAAAATTCATCCCTCAAAATGAAATCCAGTAATGAATCTCACTTCAAAAACACCTAATGGTACAATAGGTAACCCAAAGGGAAAAAAAGATTCCACTTAAAACATCTATTTAAAAATAAACACCAAAAAACTAATGACCCAAAACAGATTATAGAATTCCAATGAATAATATCTTTTCAACCTTTGATCTGGACAAGAGATTTCTGTGTTTACGTTTATTTCTACTAAGTACATCCCCCCTCCAATAATGACCAAAGCAGCCAATACCTCTACTTATTCAGATAGTACGCTGAAGCTTTTGTACATTAGCACTAACGCTGCCATTCCCATGTGCCAAAACTCTCAGCAAGTCAACTACCCTGACTCTTCCTTCAAGAAGTCACTAAGGAGACTGTAGCTACCATGCTCAGAGCACTAAAAACGCAAAGACTAGCCAGCATAGTGTCTTCCACTTAACTGTTTTTCCTGTAAACAGTCATTAACACTCTCCCCCAAGGGAGCAAAGTGTAAAGGCTCTGTTCACAATGAATCAGGCACATTTTAAAAGGTCAGCAGTGGTCAAGTAATTTTGCATTTCTGGCCAATTCTTGCTTCAGATACCAGTGGCTTCAACTCTAAGCCCCAGCGGACCTCAAGCCCAAGCTGCCCATGATAGCTTATTATTTAGTACATGCTATGCTAAGTACCTGTGAAAGGGGGCACTCCTTGGCCAATGAACTCTGATTCATATCTTTGAGTAAGTCCTTCAGAGCATTCCTTACTGTGGTGTGCGACCATTGTTCAGGAGGCAAGTCTTCTAGTTTGGGGCAACTATTTGAGACATAGATTAGAAAGGGGATTATTACAAGATTGCATCCCGCTGCAGAACATTCCTTTAAGACAGACAGATTTCATTTTGCGCATCAAACAGATGCATCTGGAGATTGCTCTCGGTCTCCTGATTGTTCCGATTAGTTAATTACTTTATACAACACATCTGCTGTATCGATGCATGAATTATACATCAGCTGCCTGTGGTGGCTATTTTTTCATGTTACTTCTACCTTCCTGCTCTGATGCGCTTGGGAAGACAATTTAAGGTGTACTGCTTTCTCAGGAGCCACCGTGAAAAGCATTAAGTATTAACTGATTTCCTTTCATTACTCTGTTCATACGAAATAAAATGGTAAAAAAAAAAAACAAAACAAAACAAAAATAAGATCATGGCAATAGCACATAAGGCATTCTTTCACAAAATGTACACAGATGGCACTGTTCATGATAAGCAAAAATATTTTTTTCTTAAGTAAACTTTATGTAAAATGCTTCCTTATAATGCATCATTTAATTGACTGAATATTAGAAGTCTTGTCTTTGGATAACCCAGAAAAATCTACAAATTGGGGAGGGGTTAAATTATACACTGAAGTTAGGGGTAGGAACAGAAGGGGTAAGGTAATACAATAAATGTGGATTAACCTTTCTGAAACACAGGGTAGACAGGAGCTGAAGGTGCAAGCCAGACATGTTACTTCATAGAATGAGGCAAGAATGTTTCATCCCCAAACTGCAGCCTTGACCCACCTGTGTAACTGAATTTTCAAGGTGACCACATGATATACATCTTGGAGCATATCTGCTACGGTGGCATCAGGGGCATCTGTCACATAAGACAGGGGAACGGGATTCCACTTTCCAACCTGGATTAGCCCTATTCCAGATAAAGAGAATATGTCACTGACTATTTTACTCTCCCATGATATATCCAGTAGAAGGCTTTTTTTCCCCACTGCCCCCACCACAAGCAATATTGTTATTTCTGTTTGAATGATTCCCTTTCCTCTAAAAGGCAGGTCAGTGAAAATATTCACAGCTTAGCCTTCCAAATTGTGAAATTATGTAAATGACTATAGGGTTGTTTATTATTTTGGAAATAAAACCCCATCAATAAAACCTATGCATAAGGCCACATTTTCCTAACTTAGAGAAAGTTCTAATAAGACACAGCAGAACCAGTTCTAAATGGCTTTACGATTTAGATAAGATTCTCTATTGCAGTGGGAATCAGCATTGAAAAATACTTTACAGCCCATAAAACCATCAGAAACAGAATAAAAGAAACAGAACTAGATATTCAGTCATAAATGCAAATTGACTCTCAACAGTCCATCTGCTCAAATACGCTCCTCACTTCCTTGTGGGTCCTCAGTGGAGCAGATTATTAAGGTCAATAAGCATACTAATGATTCAGCTGAAGTAATTTAAAAAAAAAATCTACCTCAACATTCCACATGAGCAAAATGTGTGTTAACTAAACCAAACTGAATTAAGCCAATTTTTTAAAGCCACAGTCTATAAGGAAGCAATGTAGAACACGGACTGCAGCTCTTTGAATAAAGATACTGCTTTCCCTACGAGGTGCACAAAGGATGCCAAGCCATTTTTCCCACCCCACATATGCATTATTTACCTTTGGCCTGGGCAGCAGAGCTATGCGAATAACCTAGAGACAGCAGTGCCATTTCTATCAGCTGGTTGAAAAGCATATCCTTTCGCACCAACACAAATTCCGCGTGCTCCTCCTTGCAATCATATTCAATGGCGTTTTCATAATGTTCCACCACACAGAAAACTGGTAGCATGGTTCCTATCAAAAAGACAGAAGAAAAGACAGGGAAACAACAGTCTTCAGAAAGACAGTTGGAGGGCTAGGAAAAATTAAGCTATAAAAATAAATCTTTACAACAGTGAGAGACAGCGCTGCCCAGGCAGACTGGGGCAGAGATGCAGACATTCACACACAAATATAAAATACATGCCATTTTTCATTTTTTTGAAGTTGTCAGAGAGATATTTAAACAGCACATGAAGTTGGTCATAAGGCAATTTGAGCGCTGCTCTAATTTTACCGGTGCGTTTTCCAATGCAGAATTACCTTTTTTTTTTTTTAATCAAATAATAACGCTGACAAGAGAGAAATGTGTCTTATTTGATTTGCTGGGAGGAGTAGACAGTACACACACAGAAGGCACTGCAGTTGTCTACAGAAGCCAGCTTCCCACTGCCTATATGCTTCTGTTAGTAATAAACTTTTCTTGTTTCTGTCTAAACAAATTACCTTTGGTCAAAAAATTGTCTTTTTGAGGTATTTACCCGTTGAAGTCAAGAAACACAGAATCCCACTGCTGTTCATGCCACACCATTTCAATGTGCATAATGCAGAAATAAATAACATTTATTCTTTGACTACTGATGTAATCTCTCTAAAGAGAGAACATAGTGGCCACAGTCTTTAAAATGAGCAGGTTCTATGAGATAACATGATAAATATGTGACAGAAAAGGCAAGCGGCCTCTTCAGGATGTGTTAGAATCAAGGAATTTGCGGGGATCTGATGTGCTCCCTCCTGCTTTACTTTAATCCGGGGCAGTAACTCAGGAGCCAGATGATTAATAAGTACAGGTCGCACCACTGTCAGCATGGAAGTCAGGCTGCAACTGCGCTCAAGGTATTCACCCAGCACACTGCCACACTTGCAATGCTAACAGAAAAGGGTTAAAAACAGATGCAACTGTACCATGGCAAACTGCCAGGAGGGTATCATCTTTAGAATAAATGATGACAAGGTTACTTTAACAGGGCGCCCAGGATCCCCAATTAGTCCTGCAACACTCATGCCTGTATAAAGCTCTGTCCTCCAGACTCAAGCATCCTACCAACTTCTGCAGACGTCTAGTGAGTATCAACCCTCTCCAAAAATCCATATTTCCTCCTGACACCAGAGAGGCCCCTTTACAAATTCTATTTACCTGTTTCTTCTGAACAAAAGCCGGCAATAAAACAGCTACATTTTTCCACACGTGTGTCTCTACCAGAGCTTTAGCGAACTGTCCACAAGAGATGCTAGCTCTGACAAACAAACCCCTTCAGGCTTACTCAGAGAAGCTCACAAACTCATTCGGAAGTACCAACAGGCTAGGCATGAAAAACAAGCTGCAAAGCTTGCCAATATTCTTGTCATTCATTCAGCTGCTGTATACCAGAGAGAACCCATCAGGGATCAGCACACAACTTGGGGAGACCACAGCAAAAATAGCAATATGCAAACTGGTAATTTCTTCCTTGGCTTGAAGGTATTTTGGCAAAATCTCCAAAACAAAAACATTCAACCCCTTCCCTTTTTCTCAGTACTGCTTTCTCAGCTCAGCCACAATTTTTATCTGGCACCTGTCAAACAAAAACTATCCTCATAAAACATAAGATGAGGGGGACAAAACACTAAAAGGCTTTAGTGATTTCATAATTAGATTAAGCAGAGACCTCTCTCCATAAACTACATTTTTTAAAGAGCTATCATAAATAAAATACTGAAAAAAAAAATTCAGCAGGAAGTGAAATTACTGTACTTTGGTTCTTCCTCCCCTTGCACTGATGTCTTCTAAGAACTGGGCTGGTACAACAAAAACACACACGTTGATTTTTCTTCTTATGGGATGAAACAGATGTGTTCTGTTATATGCTGCTTCTCAGGCCTATGAAATAACTTCTCAGATCTATGAAACAACGTAGGCTTTTTATACTACCGAAACATACTGAATTGACTTTGTATTGAATCGATCAAATTTAGAGGTGCCTTATAGCTAATAAAGGTGGCAACAGATAAAGTAACAATAATGCCTAATTGTAAATCCAGCTGCTAAATCTTCTAGCACACTGTCAGGGGTGCCCTGTTGTCTCTGGGAGTGATGCTAAGCAGGAGCCTTCTCAGAACGTCTGATTATTTGTCCTAGTGTTTGGCGAGGCTTCCAACTACAGCAACTTCACAACCTTCCAGCATTAAAAGAGGAGAGCGCTGGTCACTGCTGAACGCTAAAAATACCTCATGATTTAAACCTGAAGGCAGTCTTAGGAGCTTTTGCTGAAGGTTTATGAGCCTGTGTAAACAGCACGTCTGCCATAAGGAGCAGTGAAGTCTGTAGAATCCTTGTCTAAAACTGTCCTGGCATTAAAGTTTGCTGTGCAAATATCACATAATACCAGAGACAGCTGAAATCTCCTATTTAGGAATTTATGGAACTTATATGTTTGCAGGCGTCAGAAAGTCTTTTTTATAGAGCCCCAGTGTTTCACAGTACAATATTAATGCACTCTGTTTGAAAAGCCGTAATAAATTATATTTTTAATGCTCTTACCCTGGCTTTCTTAAGATGCATACATTCTTGGCAAACAATCAATAAATAGGGTAATCATGAGTAGAGGCCAAAGAATTTGCTGAAGTGCTGTTTTTCCATTTTTAATAGATAAAGATCTAACAATACGGACTGCTGTGTCTGTTCATTTCAGGATCAATATATTCTTTGTTTTCGCCAAACCAAGGAAAAAATAAATGATTGTATGATAAATGTTATGCATCAAACACAATGAAATTCCTCTGCCTTCTAACTTTATCTACTTAATATTCTTGGTTGCTAAAAGATGGCATTTTTATCCTTTGCTTAGCAAATGCAAGGGAAAATCTGATTTCTATACATGTTATTCACAAACAAAATAAAGACCCTTATGAGGCACATACATTATACTCAGGCTAGGCACTACTTTATGTAAAACATACTCAAAGTTGTTAAACTTCATCAGTTTTCATACTGGTAAAAAGCAGTTATATACTTTTCATAAAGTGACCTAAATCTACTCTTCCTTTTACACAAATATAACAAAACTTAGAAAACTAGAATCATCAAGGCTTTCCACTGCTAAATAAGGAATGTGCTTTTTAGAAAAGAAACCCCCCCAGAAACGGTACTACCAAACTTTTATATCATCTTAGGTAACGTTTTCATGATCTCTGCAACCACCTTACAAGTAGCACTCATTTAAAAAAAAAAAAAAATTTATTAAAAAGCTGAGTAATTTCCAAGCAACCTGAATGTCTTCTTCTTACTAAGAATTAGTGCACGCTAACAGCCGCCTACTATTCTTTACTACCACGATACCTTTCCAATGACCTTGGCACACACTACAATCACAATCTTTATCATCCAAAAAGTCCAACGAGTCCGATCGGCAATAGCATAAGATGCTCCACACTCAAGAACACAGCCTATGCAACGAAAACGTGATGGATACTACCACCCAGGAGGGAACCAGTTTCATCTCAGAGGGAGCATCCAGGAAAGGAATATATAAAGCACACTCTGCCCCTCCACCCCAAGCAGCAGGGCGCTGGGTAGACACCGAGCTTACAGCAATCCAGGTTTGGCTCAAAAGTATTTACCTTTCCTAAGGTTGGTTTTCATCAGATGGCCCGAGTGTTTTAAAGGCACTCCCTGCATTTTTGCACCTGTACTCCCAAGCCTTCCTCTTCCTAGAGGGCTTCCGTTCTGCTCCAGGCGGGCAATCTTGGCTGGTGGACCCTTCGGATCACTCACATTGTTAGACATTTCTGAATGTTCTTTCCCCTGAGTTGCCTCGTTCAAATGATCCATACTCAGTCACTCTCTAAAGATCACCTGCCAGAATTTAAAGAGAAGACAGACATGTTATAACTAGGGGGTGAAGGTCTACAGCTATGCTTATAAACATTTACTAGACTTTTCTCTCCACATATACATCTGTAAAGCTATACATCTACAGATGTTACTATGCTTCTAGATAACAGCATTTTTGTTCAAATTAATAATTTGTAGCAACTGTATCAACATTAATGAAAAGGTAATTTATCACTTACAACAAAAACAAGAGAAAAAAAGGCTTACTTTGAGAACAATTACAAGCTAAAAAGAAAATGAATCATATTTACGTCGTCATAATTCTTAAAAACTATACTCATTGCAGACTACAGCAGCAACATTTTAATAAAGGATAGAAGACTAATCACAGGCTAAAATACTAAATTTAACACATGTTCATATCTTACACGTGTTCTGAGAAAAATATATACCACTCAAGAGAAGGTAGTGAACATTTAAGTGCTATTTAGATTCCCCATTGGCTTCACACAGTGAAGCAGACAAGTTTTCTACTATCAAAGTTTCAAGAGTTCCACTGCCCAGTTAAAGATCTAGGTAGTCAAGCCTTGGGTCAAACATGTGACTGAGTCATTTCACCCCAAGCAAACAGGAAGAAGTGGAGGAGGGTTTCTTCAAACATTCTAGGTACTGAAGAATTACAACTCAACCTGCCTTTTAGTTAACATTTAGGTGTGTATTACCAATAAAATGTGGTTATACATTTAAATAGCAAAGCACACACAAAAAACCCCTTTATATTCACAACAGAGGGTCGTATTAAGTTTACTCTCAAACCCTTGATACTGGTAAAATATCTCCAATATTCAAAAGTAATCTTATTATGCAATGAAGATAGTACTACAGTTTCAAAAAAAATTACATAATTATGTTCAGTTTTATTGTCTATTTTACACCGTTTATAAGGTAATATTAGTTCAATATAAAACTCACTTCTGTAAGTTTTAACTAGAATTGCTAAGAGCAGGTGAGTTGGATCATGTACTTTCATGAGACTTGGAAATATGGGTCTTATCAACAGTAAGGGGAACACATTTAGGAAAAAGCAAAAAATGGTAATTGCCAATTTCTCGCAACTGTCTATTAATTTGACCGACCCTATCTTGAATTTTTACAAAATTATACCTGAGCTTTTTAGATCTGGATTTGTTGAGAGTTAAGTCTGCATTCCATGGTTTTCTTTAACTATTTTTGTTTTAACTACAGACCACTTCATCCTATATAATCAAGAACTGCAAGAGTGATGTTAATCTGCAGGTTTAAAAGCAACCTTAAGAGTGCCAACTGAAGAACTATAAAGTTTGAGAAATAATAATGGCTATTTATCTTTGTACTCCAAGGTGGCACGCTGAGAACTACAGGTTTACCGTTGATCGGGGTCCCATCTGTTTTTGGTTATGAGGTTCATTAACAATAAATGCGCCTTTTTAAACCACTTTTTATCAAGATTACTCTTTTCCATTATATTAGGCTGCAATCTAAAGCCAAAATTAGAGTGATGATTTTTAACTTATTCAAAACACTCTTTGTAATGTTTCATGTGGATAATACAGAACTGCTTTTTCTAAAATTGGTTGCCTTAACAGAAGAGACGAATTTTAAAACATATGACATGCAAAGAAAAATCTTTAACCCTTGGGGCAACTCAAGAGAAAAGTAGGCAATGGCATCAAAGTAACACCACAAAACACATTAAGTAATCGTGAGGCTTAACAACCCTTTAAGCCGTACAGCAAATGAAAGTGACAGATTATAACTTAGTTAATGTATCAACAAGCAAAATATCATATAGGTCATGCAGAATTGTCCTCTGAGTACCCACCTATAAACGTCTATTAAACACTAAGTCATCCTGGAAAAAGCTTTACATTATGAAGCAAAATTACATGCACATAAAACATCCAATTTACTCCCTTAAACTCTATGCCCAAGGCTAAACTTCACCGATCTCAGTTTGGAATTGAAAAGAATCACCTCCACCAGGCCTGCCTGGACTGTGAGCAGCGGGAACTCTGGTCTCAACAGATGCCAAAGTGCAGAGTTTCTTTTGAGTTATACATTTTACAACCCATTTTAGGGTAATGTCTATTTGGCACATACAATACAGGGTATTCTATCAAAATCCCCTCTCCCAGTCCATAAACTAAAGACCATACATGAAAATTACTGAATAAATCCATGAACTCAAGCCTCGACAATTATTTCCTGGAAAAGAAAGAAAGAAACGCGAAATTCCGGTTTTAAGAACCTAGTTTTCGCATTGTGGGATCCTTTTCAGTGAGTTCCTCGCTGGATCGCTTCTCTTGCCCTTACTGAACCCCATAATTACAATTTAAGAGACTGTGCCCTTATCCGTTCCATATGGCCGGCACGATCCAGGCCAAGCTTTCACTGTGACCTTTTAAAGAGACAAAGAAGCAAAGTACTATCTAGAAACAGAAACACTGCAGTTTTACTGAGTGAAATTAGCAAAACCGACCTGAAACTCACCACTTCAAAACTTGACAGCATATAAATAACAAAAACAAAGGAGATTTCCTTTGCAGCCCGGGGTTCTTGAAGTGAAGTTCAAGACTGATGTTTTCTATATCCCTTCTTTTTAATTAAAAAAAAAAAGAAAGAAACAGCAGACCTGAAGGCGACTTCCCCTGAAATTGTATTATTTTCTCTTCCCCTATTCCCGCCCCCCCCAAGCGGGGGAAGGGCAGAAATGAACGTCTACAAGAGTAGCCATGGGAGAGGGTATTAAAAAAAAAAAAATCACAGTTCGAAAAACAACAAATGTATGGTTTGTAAGATGTCTAACCTCACAGAACAGGGCTTTCGAGGGGGAGGAGGGGGGAGTGGGAAGTAGGGAGGAGGGAGAAGATAAAATTGATCTGACAAGTGATTCGTGGGGGGGGGTCGTAAAAACAAAGCAAAACCCGTTAGGAGCTGCTGTACACTGTGGTGGTGCTGGGGAGGCGAGGTGGTGACTGGAGAATCTCTTAAAAAAGAAAAGAAAAATCACTGCGGACAAGGTCTCCAGAAAGCAGAAGGGGAGCAGGGGCTTCTCCTTCCTCCACCCGCCCGCCCGCCCGGGTTCTGCGGGCGAGCACCGAAAGTCTACTTCTGGCTGTCACTTGCACTATTCTCCGGGAAGCCCGGAGGACGCGGAGAGGAGCAGGCCACCTCGCCTCCCGGCCCGCCGCCCCCGCCCCCGCCCCCGCAATCGCGCCTGGGAGGAACAAACCTTAAACTTTTCCCACAGTCTCGCACCCCCAACGAGGGCATCTACCGGGGGACAGCGAGAGCGCGGGACACAGTGTCGCCAGAAAAGCCCCGGAAAGGCACTAAAACGCCACTTTGGCTCCCGCCCTCGCTGACAACAGCCCGGAGGACCCCGTCC